AATTGTAATTGTTGTGTCTTCTTCCCTCCTCCCCTCAGTTTATTTGTGTATTTATTTATTTTTAGCTCCCACAAATAAGTGAGAACATGTGTTATTTCTCTTTCTGTGCATGACTCGTTTCACTTAATGTAATTCTCTCTAGGTCCATCCATGTAGTTTCAAATGGCAGTATTTCATTCTTTTTTTTATAGCATCCAGTAGACTTTGAATGATAAATACTGGTGAGGTTGCAGAGAAAAAGGAACTCTCATACACTGTTGGTGCGACTGGAGAATGGTGCAGCCTCTATGGAAAATAGTATGGAGGTTCCTCAAACAGTTGCAGATAGATCTCCCATACGACCCAGCTATCCCACGGCTGGGAATATAACCAGAGGAATGGAAATCATCAAGTCGAAGGTATACCTGTTCTCCAATGTTCATCGCAGCACTCTTTACAATAGCCAAGTGTTGGAACCAGCTCAAATGTCCATCATCGGATAGTGGATATGGAAAATGTGGTATATCTACACAATGGAATACTACTCAGCTATCATTCTGAAAATCCTAGGGCCCTTAAGAATGATGCTAAATCTACACTGCCTATGGCCTATAAGTGGAACAACAAAGCCTGGATGATAGAGCATCTGTTTACAGCATGGTTTACTGACAATATTAAGCCCACTGTTGAGACCTACCGCTTAGAAAAAAGGAATTTTTTTTTCAAAATATTACTGCTCATTGAAAATGCACCTAGTCATCCAAGATCTCTGATGGAGACATACAAGATGGTTAATGTTGTTTTTATACCTGCTAACACAGAATCCATTATGCAACTTCTGAATCAATGAATAATTTTGACTTTCTAATTTTATCTTTAAGAAATACATTTGGTAAGTTTATAGCTGCTGCAGATAGTGATTTCTTTGATGGATATGGGCAAAGTAAATTAAAAACCTTCTGAAAAGTATTGTCATTTTAGATGACATTAAGAACGTTCATGATTCACGGAAGAAAATCAACATATCAACATTAGCAGGAGATTTAAAGAAGTCAATTTCAACCCCCATGGATAACGTTAAGGAGTTCAGGACTTCAGTGGAGGCAAAAGCTGCAAATGTAGTGGAAATAACAAGATAACTAGAATTAGAGGTGAAGCTTGAAGATGTGACTGAATTGCTGCAATCTAATGATACAACTTTAGTGGGTGAAGAGTTGCTTCTTATGGATGAGCAAAGTAAGTGGTTTCTTAAGATGGAATCCATTCCTGGTGAGAATGCTGTGAACATTGTTGAAATAACAACAGAGGATTTAGAATATTAAATAAACTTAGTTGATAAAGCAGCTGCATAGTTTGAAAGGACTGAGTTCAATTTTGAAACAAGTTTTCTTAAGATGGAATCCATTCCTGGTGAGAATGCTGTGAACATTGTTGAAATAACAACAGAGGATTTAGAATATTACATAAACTTAGTTGATAAAGCAGCTGCATAGTTTGAAAGGACTGAGTTCAATTTTGAAACAAGTTCTACTGTAGGTAAAATACTGTCAAACAGCATTGCATATCACAAAGAAATCTTTTGTGAAGAATAAATCAATGTGGAAAACTTCAGTGTTGTCTTATTTATAAAAATTCACTACAGGTACCCCAGCCTTCACTAACTACCCCACTTATCAATCAGCAGCCATCAACTTAGAGGCATGACCCTCTGCAATAAAAAGACTTGGACTTGCTGAAGACTCAGATGATAGTTTGCATTTTTTAGTAATAAAGTATGTTGTAATTAATGTATGTACTTTTTAAAAGCCATAATGCATGCATGCTTAATAGACTACTGTATATTGTAAACCTAAGTTTTATATGCACTGGAAAACCAAACATTCTTTGTGGCTTGCTTCATTGCAACATTCACTTAATTGCTGTGATCTGGAAGTGAGCCCACAATACTTCTGAGGTGTGCCTGTACATAGGTATTTTGTGGGGCCACATGTTAGATTCCAGAAAAATAATCCTGACCCTAAGTCAGTGGGACTTTACATTAAACTGTTAGTCCCTTCCCTGGAATAGGCTGGACTGGGATCCAAGTCAGTAAAATGGGCTAGAAAATTAGCTTTTAACATCCTCTGAAATTTACATGGATCTTGCCATGACCGTATAGCCCACACACTCTGTGCACCTGCAGAGTCAGCACCATGTGGACACTCCAAAGACTTCAGGCTTGTATGGCTTCCATGCAGCTGCACAAGCCATACCTAAGGATGCTTGAGTCATGGTTGGAGTAACCAGCGCCTGGTTGTGGGGAGCGGTATCACAAGGTGGTTCAGGGCAGTGCCACTGAACTTGGAGCCATTTTTTCCACTTAGGCCTGTGGGCCTGTGATGGGAGGCATAGCCTTGAAGATCTTTGAAATGTCTTCAGGGCCTCTTCTCATTGTTCTGTTAGTACCGGCCTCATCTTTAGCCATGCTAATCTCTTTACCAAATTATTGCACCCTTGGATTTTTTTCTATAAACACTCTTTTATTCTCTAACACAGGACCAGGCTGAGAATTTTCCAAATTTTTACTTTATGCTTCCCTTTTAATTATAAAGTTTACCCTTTGTTGCCATAACTCAGCATAAACTATTCAAAGTAGCCAAGCAGCTTCTTGAGTGCTTTGCTGCTTTGAAATTTCTTCTGCCAGAAATGTTATTGCATTGCTCTCAAGTTTGGCCTTCTAAAAACACATAGGGCATGGACACAATGCATCTAAGTTCTTTGCTACAGCCTAACAAGGGTGACCTTTGTCTCAGTTCTTAATAAGTTCCTCCCCATTTCCATCTGAGACCCCATCAGAATGGCCTTTACTATTTGTGTTTCTATCAGTATTTTGGTCATCACTGTTTAACCACCGTCTAAGAAGTTCCAAACTTTTCCTTTTCTTTTTGTCTTCTGAGCCCTTATCATAATCACCCTAAATGTTCTGTTCACAGAAATACAAGCTTTTTCCAGTCTGCTCCTCCAAATGTTTTTTAGCTACTACCCATTACCCAGCTCCAAAGACCGTTGCCCGTTTTTAGTATCTGTACAGCAACACCCCACATCTTAGTACCAGTTTTTTGTCTTAGTTTGTTTAGTGTTATTATAACAGAATACCTGCACCTGGATAATTTATAAAGAATAAAAGTTTATTTGGCTCATGATTCTGCTGGCTGGGAAGTTCAAGATTGGGCAGCTGCATCTGGTGAGGGCCTCATGTTGCTTCAACTCATGGTGAAAAGCAGAAGGGGAGCGAGCATGTGCAAAGAGATCACACTGCGAGAGAGCAGCAAGAGAGAAACTGAGGAAGCCAGAATCCTTTCTACAACCCCCTATCTCAGGAGCTAATCCATTCCCATGACAGCTAGAACTCAGTCACCTTTGGGAGAGAGCATTAATCTATTCATGAGGGATCTGTGCCCATGACCTAAACACCTCCCATTAGGCCCCACCTCCAAACATTGCCATATTAATGATCAAATTTTAATATGAGTCCTGGTGGGAACAAACCACATTCATACCATAGCACAATTTCAAGTACATACTACATTATTCTTAAGTCACTGTGCTATTCATTAGATTGTCAGAACTTATTCATCTCATAGCTGCAAATTTGTACTATTTGACCAAATTTTCCCATTTCCTCCTCTGCACAAGAAGCCCACCTCCTTCTCACCCCACCCTGAATATTAATGTGTTCAGCATGGCTGAGTGGCTGGAAAAGGCTGGGAGCAGGAAAGAGAGGCAGGGACTCCCAGCAACCAGTGCCTCAGGCAACAGGGAAAGCCAGGCACTCACTCAGCACACTCTTACTTTCCCTCACAGGAGGAACAGCCAGCCAAGGGGGCTTTCTTGGTTTTGAGCTGTGCTGCCTTGGGGAGAGGGTACGCTTAAAGTGAAAGTGTTCTTCTTATGCTCTCCACTCTGTGTCTACTTCAGCAGTGTGGTAGGCTTTCTCTACTGGACCCCCAGGCTCCTGCAAAGATACTCTTATCTGTGGATTGTAATAAAAATCATTGCACTGACTGCAGAAAACTCCTATTCCCTTATCTTGCTGATGTCACTCCCCAGCACTTTTGCCAAATTCTACTGGTCACCCAGAAAAACCTTGGTACAATGCAGGAGGGAACTATGCAAAGTTGTGAATACTGAGAAGAGGGGATCTTTAGGGATCATCTCCAAGGCTAGCTACTATAAACTGTTAAAATACTTGAAAATAAAAATAAAGGTAATGAGATAGGAAATTTTATTTTAAAAGGTGAACAGAAAACATCTGAAGGTGATAAACGTGTTCATTATCTTGATTGTGGTAATGCTTCCATGCCTGTATATGTATGTTAAACTCAACAAGTCATGAATTTGAAATAAGCACAGTTTATTATATATCAATAATCCCACAAAAAAGTTGAAAAAATAATAAGACAATTGTTTCATTTCTTTTACCCGGAATGGAGGACTTCTAAAGAATACCTGTAGGAAAGTGGGAACACTGTATGCCATGCTGCGTCCAGTCATACTCATAATGCTAAATGCAAAATAAATGTATTAAGCTCCAACCATATATTAGTTGTATTCTAGACAATAGTGATACAGAAATAATATATGTCTCATCTATGTTGACAGTCTAGACCAGGGAAAATGATTTAGAACCAAAATATCTTTCTGAGTTTTCATTTTTACTTTTGGGGATGGAAAGTTTGAATCTGATTTTTCCTCAATGCTTATCACTCTTCATTTGGCTTACCATTATCTTTATTATAGTATACAAAGTCCTAGTGTGGCATACAAGTCCTTATATAATTTGGCTCTCATTTACTTTAAGTTTATTTATCACTATGATACTACCCATATTTTATATTCTAGTAGTAATGAATTGCATTCATCTTACAAATGCATCAATTTCTCTCTTACCTCTAGAAGTTTTCATATACTGCTCTTTCTGATTCAGATTACTGGAACCCTCTATTTTTCTTCCTCCTACTTTATTTTTCTGAGTAATTCTTGAAGACAGACATCAAAATATTAACTATTCTGTGATTTCTCCCCTCAGTCTTCTGAACTTCTTAGGCAATGCTGATTACATAATAAAATATATTCTAAAATATTTTTCCTATAAATACACCAAAATAACCAATGTATCTACCTTTATAATTGTCTGATTTTTTTCCCCTGCTCAATATGATTCTACTGCCTAGTGATTCCTAATAGAAATTCCTTATTTTTTAAAAATCAGGTTTTATACTAAAAATTTTTAAGAGACTAGATTATAAAAAATGTTGGTGGTATTTATAAACAAATGAGTGGGTAGCATCAAATGCATATTCCTTGATGGATAATACATTTATTAGTGTAATGAAAATCCACAAAGTTCCAGAAACTATGCCTTCAGTAGAAACTATCAGTGATTTTTATCAACTAGCATGGTCTTTGTCTCAGTTTTACTTACTATTAAAGATATTTATCAAGGACAGAAACTTTGCCTTGTATATTACTCCCAAGCAATATCAAATTCAGTACCTGACAAATAATAAAATGACATTTAGACATTATTGGATTTAACTAAATTTGTTTGTGGGTCTCTTTTAAAGAAATGTTTTCAAAGTCGATATACAAGTAACTAGGAAAGTGTGGGAATGATCCATTTTAATACCTTAAGAAGAAAAGAGCTAGGTGTTATCAAATCACATGGATGTCCTTTTCATCTATGAAAATGGTCTTCTCTCATCACACTGGGATTTACTTTTATCTCTTTCTTCAGTAGTCTTTTGCTAAGGAAAAGTTTGAGAATCCCTTCCTGAATTTGCTTTGTCTTTATCCCATAGACAATAGGATTCAGGGTTGGTGGCAAAAGCAGATATAGGTTAGCCACAAAAATATGAACACTGTGTGGGATTGTATGACCCCCAAAACGGTGGGTAAAAAAGGTAAAGAAGGCTGGGACATAGGTGATGATGATGGCACAGATGTGGGCAGTGCAGGTGCTGAAGGCCTTCTGTCGAGCATCTGCTGAGGAGAGGCTGACCACTGCCTGGAGGATCATGGTGTAGGAGACTGTGATGCACAGGATGTCAAAGCCCCCAATCAGGAGGGCAACCATCAGACCGTAGATGGCATTGACCTTGACATTTCCACAGGACAACTTGGCAACAGACATGTGGTCACAGTAGGTGTGGGAAATTATATTGCCCTTGCAATAGGGCAGGCTTTTGGTGAGTAAAGTAAAGGGAATAACGAGCATCACACCTCGAAGAAAGGTGAATAACCCAGCTTTGAAAATGACAGAATTAGTGAGGATAGTGGTGTAGCGTAGTGGGTAGCAGATGGCCACATAGCGGTCCAGGGCCATGAGCATGAGCACCCCAGACTCCATCCCTGTGAAAGTGTGGAGGAAGAACATCTGGATCAGGCAAGCATTGAAGCTGATCTCTTTGAGATCAAACCAGAAGATACACAGCATTTTGGGTACAATACTTGTACACTGAACGATGTCAGTGAAGGAGAGCAAGGCCAAGAAATAATACATGGGTCGGTGTAAGGACTCCTCCAGATAAATGAGATAGAGAAGCCCACAGTTCCCCAGCACAGTAGCAAGGTACATAGAACAAAACGGGAGGGAGATCCAGATATGCGCGCTTTCTAGCCCAGGAACTCCATTCAATATGAATGATGTCGGAGTCAGTCTGGAACAGTTGTAATCATGCATGGTGGCCACTTAAAGGGTATGTTACATTCTTCAAGGCTGATGCTTCTCTGAAAAGAAAGAGTTTAGGCAAACGTACATTGATCGTTTACAATGTACTACCTACGTAATGCTAATATTTTTGCAAAAATCATCTTGACATAATTATCACTTTTACTCCATGAGATAGTGATATTATTGCATTATTGATGAGGAATGGATCTTAGTGAAGTGTCAGTAACTATAAATCTTGGCTATTTACCATGAATAAATTTATATATATTTCACTAAGTCCCTCTAAACTCTGACATAATTATCACTTTTACTCCATGAGATAGTGATATTATTGCATTATTGATGAGGAATGGATCTTAGTGAAGTGTCAGTAACTGTAAATCTTGGCTATTTACCATGAATAAATTTATATATATTTCACTAAGTCCCTCTAAACTCTCAAACTCTATGATCACAATGAAGCATTAACACAGTCCTTGACCAAGGATTATGTGTGAAATGGTGAATATTAGGATGGCTAAAAGTACTTTGACTAATAACCTTTCAAGTGAAGTATAAGGATTTTTCTATTTCTGACTATGGATATGGGTAAGGAGATCTACTTACCTACATGAGTATTGATGGTTCTTTGGGTTATGAGAGAGAAGATTTCAACACTGTCAAATTTTAAAAAGTAGATTAAAACAAAATAAAACAAACAAAAAAAATGAAACAAACAAAAACTCTGTTAATTAGATTCTTGGATTTTCTCCTCTCCATAATCTAGAGAGTTTGATCAGCAATGGATAATGATAACAGGCTCATTAATTAAAGAGAATCATTAATGTGTTTACATGGCTAATAATTGGGACTAGACCATCAACACAAATATAATGACTGTGCACTGGGTGCTGTGGAACCTCTACAGTCATGTTGCTTCTTCATGGTGCTGTTCATCTCCTTACTTTCCTCTCCAGCTCATGCTGGGCTCCCAGGCTCTTGAAATACACTGAATATGATTATTGACTTGTGGCCTAAGACATATTATCATGTGTAGCAACGTGTTGCTCACTAAGTGCCCTCTGAATAAATAAAAATATTTCAATAACTACTACTCCTATTTTAGCCACCAATCCTACACTGTCTACATCTATATCTGTTTTTATATTTGTTTTTTTCATAGTGTAATAATGTATGACACTGAAGTGGGTGGGGGACACGGGGTACAGATGCAATTTGTGGTAATGGGTATGCTGCCAGTATGAATCTGGCCTTCACATCTTGTGCACGAGTGGTGACAATCAGCTTTGTATTTCATGAATATCCATAACCAATTAAAAAAAAGGAAAAAAAATAAACTCCTTCTTTCTTCATGATTTTGACAACTGTAATTATTGTTCTTTGTAGAATGTCTTTTTAAGGTGTGAGGTTTATTTTTTAAAACATTTATTCTTACATTCAACATGATATAATTGAGAAGAATTGTATGTAAAATGTGTCTTCTAAGAACCATAATTTAAAATGAAAATTGTGCAATATACCTTATTGTCAAATTTATTAGAATCTACCCCTTTTTCATACAAAGAAGATCAAAATCTTTGCAACATATAAATACAAGAGGACTCATATTCAGAATTGATGAAGCAACAAGCAAAACTTGAGCCAGAACAGGATTTTTTACCACTACACAGCTTGTAATTACGGTGAGAACATTAAGAATAGCTGAGATCACATGCTGCAGCACCATAGAGACCCTGAACTTGACTTTGTTTCTTGGCCATAGTTTCAATTCCACATCTGGAATAGCTGCCCACAGACTGCAGATAGTTGAGCGGACAATAAAATTCCCACCTAATTCTTCCTGCAGGAAGGTTGATTCCTGGACCTTCCTCTTCCTTTCTAATTTCATCCAATGGCTAGTTGCTACAAGATTTTTGAAAAACTCTACGGTGCTAGATTTAAATTCTTGCAGCTTCCCAACCCTGCCTACCTACCTCCCACTGTTTTATTCATTTAATTTACTTATTTTTTGCTCATCTGGGCATATATTTTGCTGTCTCTTTGGTAAGTTTCTCTCTAATTTTATAAAACAATTCAGAGATTGGCCCATTTAGATCATATTACTAGTCATTTTTAAACATGTACCCTAGTTTTCCAATTCTTTTTGTTTTCATGGACATGAACTTGCTACTCTGGATGGAGAATAAGGCCCAGTCTGTTGCCCAAAGTCAGCCAGTCGCAGTGGTTACAGAAGAGTCCTCACTATCCCAATCAGTAGCCCTCTCTGTATCCTGTATCCTTAGGTTTGCAAGATAAATTTGGTTCTTTTAGATATTACCTATTATACTATTATTCTTGTGCCAAAACAACAACAACAACAACAACAACAAAAAACAGAAACCTAAAATGTTGAAAGTACGTGCTAAAATTCTGATTAAGAGGTGTCAGATTCAATTCTAAATTCTGGATTACTTATCTTTCAACACAGTTTTTTTATTTACTCCTGTTATGAGTTTTGTTCCCAAAATGTAAAACTTCGAAGGAGCAGCAGGTTAGCCCCTGAAGACAGTGATGAATCAGGCATCCAGAACTCACTCATCAGTGTTCTCGCTTTTCTCTCTTCCTATGCCACCTCTGAGACGCCTTTGTTCCCAAAATGTAAAACTTCGAAGGAGCAGCAGGTTAGCCCCTGAAGACAGTGATGAATCAGGTATCCAGAACTCACTCATCAGTGTTCTCGCTTTTCTCTCTTCCTATGCCACCTCTGAGACGCCTGGGGCACACGGCTTCTCAGATTGGGTGAAGTACTGAGGATATTGACTACTCTATCTTCTTGTTATAATCTCAAATGTGTTCTATTTCTCCCTTAGGCCACAAAACTGAGTATAACTCAAAATAGAAGAAGTAGAGTAGGGGATTTTCTTAGAATGATGTATAGAAACCTAGTCAAATAGTTATCTCTGTTTCCTTTTCCAGGGCTCTGCTGTGTTGCCAGCAATTTCTCTTTTGTTTTCTCAGCCTATCCAGAAAATGGCTTACCAGTTTCCAGCTTCTCTCTCCAAACAGAACTCTAATTTCCCGTTTGATGTTTGTTCACCACACACTTCTGTTTTTACACTCTGCAAGGGCAATGCCCCTATTCTGGGTTTTCAGAAGCAAATCTGTGTGACCAATAACATTTCAGTGTTTCAAATCCCTAGAGTTCATAACTCTGGAGACTCTAACTCCCCTCTGATTATACCATATTTCACACAGAAACCCAAATTATCTGACTGCATGGCATTCTTGTAGAATTCTTAATTTTCCACTTTAGTGCAAGCCAATGAATTTTAGGTTTCAGAACAGAGACTTAGTGTAAATGGCATAATAGTACTAAGTAAGGAAAACCTGATATGAAAAGAGCAGGTTGGTTAGGCAGGGACATAAAAATATCCTTATTTTTGAAATCTGCATCTGTATGCAGGGACAGTGAGAGTTATAATTGGGGCATAAATCCCTAAATCTTGCCACAGCAAAATTACTTGCTATGACACTGAAGAATATGTATGCCTGTAGAATAAGATTTGGTAAATACACGTGCTTGAGTCACAGTGTGGCAGATTTAACATCCTCACTCATGTTTATAGTGGATATAACGGTTATCAGGGGGTTAGGAAGAGGTGACTAGACAAATCACTCTTTTAATATAGTTATAATTATGCTACCACGAGAAACATGGATCCTTAATATTTGAGTTAAAAGATATAAACTGATAGATTTAATAGACAATTACTCTCCCACATTTATTTCCCTTTTCAACCCCAAACTCCTTAACATCCTGTACCTAGAAATAGAAATAGAATGAGGAATAGATGGTCTTTAATTACAGCAGTAGTTTGAGAAATTGCAAGAAACGTTAGGTGGTAGGAGACTTGATGATTTCTGAGGATGGAACAGAGATTTCTATAAATGAAGGAGAAATTTAAGTATAAAGAAAAAAGTAACATTTAACCTTCAACTGTGAGTGGTTGATCTTCAATATAATGTAATGCTAAGAGGAAAGTACTAAGACAAAAGTCTAATAGAATTCTGTAAGTGCCTTCTAAGTGATGGATATGCTCAATTAAAGCCACATTCTCAAGGATTGATAATATTTCACAGTAACGATGTTAAAAGGAATTTTAAATTTTCATTATAGATCAGCATTAATAAGTGAACATTTGCAATCAATTCTGACAACAGAAAACAGTACCTGTGAACTCCACTTAATTGAAAAGTTATTATAAAAAAAGGATTTCCTTCTCTCATTAGTAGGCCTGTGTTACCAACAAAATGTACTAAATGATTCTTATTATATTTTGTATTTTGTAAAAAAAAATTATAAAATTTTTTCTCTCTCTCTCTTTTTTTTTTTCCTTTTTGTCTTTTTTCGTGACCAGCAACGGATCGCAACCCTCAGTGTCATGCCCGTACCGGACCAGGACCAGCAACGGGATCGCAACCCTCGGTGTTGCACCCGCACTTTGCTCAGCTAGTGAGCGGCCGGTCTGTATGTGGGATCCGAACCCTCGGCGGGAGCGCCGCCAAGCTCCCAAGCGGCGCACTGTAGCAGTGCGCCACTGGGCCGGCCCAAATTTTTTTCTCTTTTATATGAACTATTAATATCCTCAGTTTTTCCTCTTGGCTTACCAAATGTTAATTATTTAATATCTTGCTATTTATAGAAAATGTTGCCAACCTCTAGTTTGGAGAACTACATACAAATAAACGTTTTTCATCTTGGAATACCAGTTCTTCATTTTCTTTCCCCAGATGTTGACCTGGTATCAGTTTTTATTTTTTTTCTTGCAAAACTAGTTTATGCATATTTCTTTATTGTGTTTTACTGCTTTATAATTTTTTATTTTATTGCTATGTGAAATTTATTTCAAATGGTCTTCAGTTAATAGTTACCTAAGTGATTTCTAACCTCTGCTAAAACAAAAATGAATCAATAAATAGCCTAGAATAAAAATTAATCTAAGTTCAAGGTAGTAAAATCTTGATTATTA